GGGTTTTGGCGGTCTTCTCAGTAATTTGAGTTTTACTCCACGAAGAAATGACTTTTGGAGGCTCGGAAGATGTTATTCGTAATCAGCTCGTTAAACTGAATCTGAATATGTATAATAAAGTCCAAAATAAATTCCACTGTAAGTTTGCATTAGCTGAACCTTATTAACAGCATAAGCCTGTGACAGAAATAATCGTTAGCTGATTCCAAACCATTAATCACTTAAAGTACAAATAAGATTGGTCATTATAAGAATTTGAAAACGTTTGGTGATTAGACTTGTCCTTTGAATGAGGATGCATGATTAATGGTTTGGAATAAGCTACCAGTTATTTCTTTCATAGGTTGTAGCCACAGAATGCATCAGTTGGTTGCTTGCAAGAAGACTGATATTAAGTAACTGAAGTGATAATATTCTTAATCGACATCTATCTAAGATAGTATCAGAAAAATCATTTCAGAGAAGTCTTGGTGACTCGCTAGTTTCTGGCTTGCCTCGGTGTCTCTTCGCTGAAATCTACTCTTAAGATTACCTTGTGTCTACATGTGACCAGTCTTGGTGGTGTTCTTGAAGAAGAATTTCCTTGGTGACTGGCCTAGGGACGAGTGGTCTTCTAAACCAAGCTCTTTGTTGGCACCGCGCAAACACATTTTTAGATACTATATTGCTCAACTTCGCGCCTTGTAAAAATATTGTTTTATGTGAGGGTGACCTAAACTTTTCTCCTCCGATTCTTTTTATCCGGCTAGGTTCCAACCAAGATGTAGTCGTCTCACGGGGACGGGTAGTGGCGATGCGGCCATTTGTGTTTGTTTTGTTTAATGTTAAGCCGCATAGCATATTCACATTGCAGTCTATGTGAGTCACATGTTGTATTTTTTTGGCAAGTGTCTATATTAAAATCTGTTCGTATGTATCAAGAAAGCATTTATGATATTTTACAGTTTGTCAATTTTAATCACTTCATTGAAACGGCTAGTTGTGCACGTAGCCATACCCCTATATAATTCTGTTCTCAATGGTTCATAAAGCATGCAGTCTAACAACAAATGTCGCCGTGTCTCCAGTGGAATGTTGCAATGCTTACAAAATGGACCGTCTGTCTTTCCTTTCAGAAATGAAGTTGCATTTATCGGCAAATCATTGAGAAGGAATCGAAATAACAGGGTCTGTCTTTTTCTGTTGCTAATTATGTCCTTAAGGCGTATGTTTTAATATCTGGATTTGTTTGGTAATACGAACTTGCAGTTGACTCATCTTTCTACACCTCTCTCCATTGGTTTTTGATCCATTTATACATTTCACCACTAATCTCCATGTTGGTATAGGAATCCTAATTGGCATAGTAGAATGATTAAAGTTATTGAATGAAATGTGCACGTTGTCCCCCATAATAGCCAATCATTCGCCCTGAACATGATTGTATGCAAATGAATAGTTGATTGAATGGGTGTCATGAGTGTGATGGATGGGCGACTATTGTATTGTTGATTAAACATCTGAAATATACCTTGATGATTAACGGATTGCTGTTGAACACTTGGGCAGTTAACAACGATGATTGATGATGTATACATCCACCACTAATCTTGTCTTCTGCCAAATGCGAATAGCCAAAATAATTCCGTTGTCGAGCTGATTTGATGCGGATCAAGGAATTTTGGAGAAAACTTGTTTTCATACCCGAGTTGTTTGATTAGGATCAAATCACCAGTTTGATATTATGGGTTACACCGATTACGGTCATATCTCTCTTTTCGATTTCCGTTGTTGGTGTTCAATATTCTGTTGAGCCGTTTGTTTAATTGATGCAAGATATTTTTGTAAACGGTCTAAATATTCGGCTGCACAATAGTTGTTGTTGTTTGTGGAAAGTCAAAAGGTAAACGACACTGACGGCCATACATCTTCTGAAAAGGCGTTACCTTGATTGTTGAGTGTCGACTTGAGTTGTAAGCGGATGTTGTTAGAGGTAGTTAATGGTCCCAATCAGTTCTGTTGTTGTTTGATAATGCTGCCACGCTCCCACATATTGAAGCGCTAAACCTCCCGATCTATCCGTTTGTTTATGGGTGATTGTTGCAAAACGTGACACGCTCCACATTCTGCGACAATGGCTCCAAATAGACAAGATGTGAAGTGGCTTCCGTTATCGGTCAAGAGTTGGTGGGGTGTTCCGTATTTTAAGACCACTTCGTCAACAAAAAATTGTCCATCTGTTAGTGCTGTATGATCCCGTGTTACTTTCGGGATGGCAAATTTAGAGAGAAGATCTCTTAGTACAATGACATATTTGTTTCCTTTCGAAGACAGAGGCATGATTGGCCCAACAAAATCCATAGCTACGTTTTCTGAAACTATTTCGGTGCTTCTATCGGTTGCATAGCCCCATCTAGTTTTCTTCTCGAGTGCTTGTTTATTGAACAATTTGAACAATGTTGAACATGTTTCTTGACATCATTATACATGTTTTTCCAATAAAAACGATCACGTATCTTGTAAAAGTTTTTTCAACATCAAAATTACGGTGGACTGAAAGTATATCGTTAATTTTACATTTTGGATAATTGGAACGTTGATTCTTGAATTGTATCGTTGAAGTCTTTTGCACAACAAGTTGTTTTCCATTGTATAAAGTTTGTACAGCTGAGGGTGGTGAATATTATCGACGATTTTTGCACATTCTTTATCATTTTCTTCTTCAATGGAAAAAACAAAAATTGTATTGGAGTGCGGTGTGATGGGTGTAGATGAAATCGGCGTTGTCTGAGATACCATTGCTGAAGGGATATTCGATATATTTTTATTATTCGTGTCGAGTTGCTCACCCGACGCTTGTTGTACGTTGTTTTTTGTCATCGATCTTGTTAATACGCTTACATCAGGAAGACAAGTTTGTGTTGCCATTGTTTTTTGCTCAACTATCCTCTTACCGTAATCATCAGATAATTCTACAGGATATAGTGACAAACAATCCGCCATACAGTTCTCTTTTTCTCTTTTATGTACTTAATTTGAAATGTATATTGCTGCAGAGCCATTCGCCATCGATTTAGTTTAGCATTACTTTGATAATTCCGTTGTAATCAACATAAAGGATGATGATATCCGCGGTAATAATCAATTTTTGTCCGGAAATGTACGAATCCCATTTCTTCACTGCTTGAATAACTGCAAAACATTCTCTTTCAGTAGTTGACCAATTCTGTTGTTGCTTGTTTAAACCTTTTGACATATAGGCCACTGGCTTCTCTCCATCTTTTGTTAGTTGCAGTAGAATAGCGCCGATAGCAATATCTGATGCATCCGCTTGGACAGTAAATGTAGACGAAGTGTCTGGCAAATGAACAACGGTACTGTTGTTAATCTCGTCTTTATCTCAGTGAATGACTCTTGTTCCTCTTTTCCCCAGACGAATCTGACTGCTTTATTTGAAAATTTATGAAGTGGTACAGCAATAGCTGAAAAATCTTTGATGTAATTACTATAGCATTCCGCTGCTTTTACGAATCATATAACATATCTATGATAAACTCATGCCCTATCGCCGAAAGTTGCCGTCTTAAGACGGGACATGTTTTCCATTTTAATAAGATAGGCGAAGGAAGAATCTCCTTCTGTCGCAGTGTGTGTGTCATTTTAACGTATGAATTGGTCTAAACGTGAAGGCACTGACGATGACTCTGTAAGGTCGAACTTTTTAGAAAAGAATATATGCCATCTGTCTTCGGAAGTTGTCGCCTCTCAGCCGGATACAGAGAAAGCAAGGCCCGAAGCACATCAACGTTTTTGTCTTTTGACATTATGCCCATTACATATTCACGAGAGAAATCTTCTATACGAAACAAAAATAGTAGACTGAAAACGTCACGAACAGTTTCGATACTCGGAAGTTTTATACTCTAGACTAAAGCTTCGGGTACGGAAACGTTTTCACACTCGCGGCTTTCGAGAATCGAGACCACTTCGAGAGTAAAGTTTATTGTTTATTAATATATATTCTCTTAGTTCCGAAGGTTTCTAGGAAACCTTTCCAGACACCAACATTTTTTATTTCAAATACCAACATATTATCTGTTCGTTTTTCAAAACATTTATTAAGCTTTACGGTATACTTTGAATAAGTTAGAGTATATCTAGATACTCCGAAACAGGTTGCATGGCTTTTGAGTTAGTTCTGAACTTTTAGTTTTTGATGAAGATAGCCAAAATTGTGCACCCTCTTGTGAACTCTTCCTTCCAGTAAGAGAATTGATTGAGTTTATAACAAAAAAGTGATCGTACTGTTCACTGTGCAAAAACTGATAAATCTAAATAAAACGTTGAACCTATTTTGAAAGACTTCAGATTTTTAACAGTGAAAGCAGTGAAACGTTCTGAATCCAGGATTTTAGTCTTATTATGTTATACAGAATTAAATTTTGCATATTTTGATATATAAACAAAGTTTTTTTTTAAAGAAAGCGCTCTATCAAGCCAGATATACGAACTACATAAAATAATTTCCTTAACGATATTTTGCTTAAAAGCTCTAAAAAGAGATCTTCAAAAGGAAAATATGAATGTCGCACACGGTGATGTGCACGCGCAACGCATGTCCGACTTTTATATTCTTTGTTACCGTACTACGACACAGTTGTCTGCGAAGTGTCCTCTAACTGTCAGTTTGAAAAAATGAATGTATTGCTATGTGAAGTTTAGGCAATGCGTAGTTGCGGTGTTTGGGAAAAGATTTTTGAATTTCGTTTTGTTGTAGATTAATGTGTTAATTATTGATTACTGTGAGTTACAGACTGCGATCTTATTTCGATCGGAAGTTATTAAAGACATCTGATGATACTAACGTTTGACACGGATAACGGTCACTTTATGAGGGTAACCTAGCTGAGAGCAACGGATCAATTCTTGCGGTCGTAGTCATCTTATGGCAATTTGATGGCAATATCGAACTACCACCAAGCTTTTCTGTCCACTTCTTTTTAACCATGATGTTTACGCAAGCTTGTGTGACATTTTTGATATATTCATTTTTGTCCTTCCACGGATCATTATTGGCGTGTACTACCTCTGGTGTAATGAGTGCTTCATTAGCTGCACTTAGTAGGTCAGACATGTATTGTTTTTGAACTAGAACATCTTTTCTTGTACCTAATCTTGTAACATGACCGCCGACAAATGTCTGGAAGTTGTACTTTAGGATAGTATCATGAACTTTGATAAAACCATAAACATCTTCTGCATAACCTAATTCGTCGAATGGAAACCATCCAGGATATACAACATCAACAAACATGAGCACCTTTTGTTTTGGCAGGTATATAAAGGTGTTTCCAGGCGAGTGATTCAGTCCGTGGTAGGCCATTTCGAAGGTTTGGTTTCCAACTGTCAGTGATAGTTTCTTCTTGAACGTTTTGGTTGGTATGGGTGGTAGTGATGAACCAACTGTTGCTGAAGCTTTAGCAGTGGATAGAATATCGGCAACACGTTTTCTTGCAATATAAACGGCACCCTTTGGAAACATTCCACTGCTACCAATATGATCCAAATGCTCATGACTGTATAGTACATGTGTAACCGGCTTGTCGGTTACTTCCAATATGGCTTTGAGGTAGTCTTTGCCAATTGCAGGAGGAGCATCAACTACTATCACACCTTCAGTTGATACCAGGAACATTGTTTGAAATGCTTGGCCTACTACCCAGTATACACCACCACGGATGTGTTGAACAAGATAACCTTTGTCAGGTATTAGAGGACCTCTGGCATTCTTTGGAATCCCATCAACGACAGCTGGAGCATATATAAAGAAATAGTTACTAGCAGCTGTTCTCGAATGTACTGTACTGTTAGCTATCCATCATCAAGGTATGATCTCAAACGAGTCGGATCATCTGGGAAGCTTCCCTCATCAGGTGCAAGTATTATACAGTCACTGGTACACAAACTGCACAAACATTGAGGTGAAGATTACACCTTTTCTCGACCATTAGCATGCATTGCCAGACTCGATTTCTGCAAACAGTATATTTAGAAGGTTGTTAACTTTGACAGTAAGAACTGTTTTTTTGAATTATTTTCCTAATCTTTACTTTTCTGCTACATTTTCCGTAATATTCAGGAAGCTATACAAATTTAATGAACAGAGTAACTTTGTAACTGAGACTGAAAAATATCACTGTCCACTCCCTACCATTTACTTCAAACTCATAAAACTTTATTTTGGATAAATTATGAACACCATCCAAAAATACCAGTTGGAACTCTACTTGCTGCTACTTTTTACAAACCTGGAAGAGCAACCGTTTAATAGTTATGATCCAGAGGACATCTTTCGGCTTTATAGTGATACTGACATTGATACAAGTTCGTTTTAGATCTCTATCTACATACGGGGTATTGAATCGGACAAACGGTTGAATGACTCGACTACTTACCTGTTGGAAAATATAAAATAAGTAAAATTATTGAGCCAAACGAGCCGCTCCTAAAAACAGAGAGCATCTATTAATAACTTCTGATATATGTGGATAGATTTTTCAGATGTTGAACTTCACTCGTGATAATGCTATAAAATGAAAAATATCATAAGTCTGACGAAAGAGTGAGAACAAGCTGAAATCATGAGATATAGTCAGGATGTATTGAACGACGATCTCGTGTGGATGTGGACCTTGTTCCAGCATTCTTAGGGCATGAGTTTACCATACATATGGCCATAATGAAGAAAGAGAAACGAATGAAGGTCACTGCTGATTATATATCACTGGAGTATACTTCTTGAAAAACAACGGAAGACCGAAAGCTCCTTAGCCAACCTTATACGATTTGTTACCGAGTATTATTTATGTTCATTTTACACATCTGAGTTAAATCGGCTAATTAAAGTGACATATGCAAGCCTACAAGCACTAAATA